TTAGATTTGTTTTGCTTTACTTGATACAGAAGTGGCAATTTTGTGGAATGTAGGTAACTTTGGTGCGCTGCTTGGTTGTTAGTCTGTTCGCCGAGCTTGGCAGTTGGATTGCAAACGCTTCATCACCAATCGAAGTGACATCGTCAGTGCAGGGTTGAGTGGGTCTAGAAGTGTAATATCCCCAAAATCCGAAAAAAATATTTTAAGTTTTCAAGACAACCACCACTGATTTTGTCCGCAAGAAATTATCCTTCATACGAATTATCCGATCGAACTCTGTTTCCCCAAAAATTCTGCGGCGCGCAGAAGACGTGAGCCAGTGGTCATAGTGGATATGGAAATATCGAAAATATTGCATGGTCGAATACGCAAAAGAAACAGACGTTTCCCGAATATCGTTAAAACATTCTAAATTATGGCATCGCAAACATCAAAATACCTATCAACTAGCCTGAAACACAAAGCACCGCTTTCAAAACTACTGCCTAGTGAGTGTGATTCATCATAACAAAGAACGAAAGCTTCGTTTTGGCTTTCAAGCTCTGTTAAACTTGTTCCCAAGATTAAGATCTTGCCTCCATCATAACTTCAAAAATCTTGCACTTTTTGCAACCGAAAAAGTCAAAATTTACAAAGTGTACTCATTGTTATGAGTCCACACACCTTTTGCCATTGATCCTGCTTTTGTAGACAGTATGGCATTTTATTGAATACCTGTCGGATGACGGTCATTACGGGATAGACAGAAGGCGCTGTTCCCTCAAATAATTTGAAATTCAGGATCTGTTGATATTACTCTCTTAAAAACCCCACCCTGTCTAGCTGGCTGACATAACGCCTGGGGCTGCTCAAGCCAGTGATTTGGAAAACCTGATGCGCTTTCAGTTCTCTGTGTGTAAATAATAGGACGAAGTTTATCCCCAAACCAGAATCTTCTCAGTATACGGCGTCGGGTAGTATGATTTATCTTGTCATATTTTGGTTGGATTTGATTGTAATTCATTGGCTAAAGTAAATACTCTCTGACGTGAGAGTGAAGCAAATAAGTTTATTGAAAATCCATAGATAAAAAAATCATTCAGCTGTAACACCCTTTCGGTGCCTAGCTGCCATGCCACCCGAGGGAAGCACGAGAGCTGGGATACTGCCAGGTTATTCAAACCTAGACAGGGAAAGTCGAGAGACAGAGGTCAGATTGGAACTACGAACCTTTCGGTCAGTAACTTCGCGATCTGACCGCAGAGCCCTCTCGCCCCAATGAAAACTCCATGAGCCAATCACCACGTCACCTAGGGCACGATTTTGGGTCCGTGTATTCTAGTCGTTTTACGAGCTTATCCTACTGGGATCTGTCCTTATGAGTGTACAAAAATTGACTGGGTAACTCGGAGCGAATTAATCTTCTCCATCTATTCCTTCTAGTTTTCGTCCTACCTTCTTGAGCCATCCTTCTGAACACAACGCCAAATTGTGCGAAAAACGGGGGATAAATTTGCTCCGCGTAAAGCTTACGCCCAAGTTAACAGGGATAATGTTTTAAATCACGGTAAGTCCACTGGAGACATTAGGTTTGTAAAATTTATATCAGTCTAATGGCTGCTGAACTTCCATTTTAGGTTGGCGATTAGGTAGATTTCCTCGTTAACACTAGAAAGTCAGATTGCAGGATTAACTAAGAGGGATTAGCCCGCAAATTCCAGTTAAAATCGACCAGTTCTAGAGGAAGTAGAAAATCTTAATGGAGATAAATTTCTTGCGCGGCGAAGGAAAAATAATTACCCAACTTTGAGTAAATCATTAAAGTTTGTGATTTTCAAAGTGATAACGGTGTTACTGCAATGGTACCATGAGTATCGACATCATTTTTGGTTCCCATCTGAACTGGAAGAAGTTGATGATGTCTTGAGAGTTTTCCCACGCAAATCCTTTTCCCGCTTTCCTCATGGTGAATAGCGATTGTACACACGAAGTTAGAGTCAGAGATAGCTCAGTCATTACCGAGCGTACATAGTTCGAATCCGACCTCTACTTCTGTTTGGGCAACCTGGCAGCATCTCAGCCCTCATGCTATCTTCGAGTGTCAAGGCAGTCAGGCAACACTGATCTCCCTGTTAAAAATAACTTCGCTGTATATAACGTGTATGCAGACATGCACATGTGTACATATATATGTACGTGTATGCATACGAATATATATTTATGCATATATAGCCGTTGCCTTAATCTTTTTCATCAAGCCAGAGCGCAAAATAGTCAAAACATTTCATGATACAGTTAGATAAAACTTTTTCCGAGACTATCTGGCAGCAAATCAGTCAGTATTTCTTCACAGTCTCAACACACGGAAGGATGTTGTAGACTTAGTAGACCGAATTGTTCATACTCCGTTTTGGGACCACATCATAGTTCCTTCTATGGGTCCGACCGGCCGGAATGCTTTATTTACAGGCTGACCATCGTTCACTGTATGCCTACTAACGGGTCAGAAGAGCCGAGAAAGATCCGATGAGGCAAATTGAGATCACTTCAAGATCAAGACTCAACTTGTCACTACAATTTACCGTTTTACTACTATGCCTTCATCTGAATACTTCCAAACAGTCTTTATGGGATATCTTGACATCCTTATCTAGATCAATATGAAACTCATCGGCTTTGGATGCAAGTGACCCCCTCGGTTTAGATTCACAACTGTTTAGATAGACTGATGTACAAACAGTTTTCAGTTGTTTTGTGAACACTGTAAAAAGCTTTGCTTTCTACGGTTGATCTTTCCAGATTATTGCAATGTTTTGGCCCTTAAATTTTTAAGCGACCAGTAGTTTAGTCATTTCCTATCTCTTGGCCGCTAGACTGTTCAACTTCTACGGGAAAAAAACAACCGACCGGCTAACCACTTGTCAACTGCAACTATGAAAGAGGCTGACAAGCCAGGATTCAGGATAAATGTTGGATGTAAGCGAGACACCAGATGTTACATCTCACTGAAGCATAGGGAAACGTACACACAAATGCTGGCGAGAGGGAGAAAAGACATGAAGTTGTTCACTAGAAGGTTGTCAGGGTAACCATTATCTTACAAGCTCAATAGACAGGTAACCCAACCGTTAAACTGAAGAGACACGGAACGTACTCTTCACCGAAAAAACAACGTCATGCTGTTGGTATAAATAGCTCTCCTACGGAAAAGTAAACTGAGTTCTAGCGGTCTTGGCGTGTAATTTGTCGACAATGCTGGCTTTGAGGACCTCCCTCACAGCTCTCCCAAAAACTCCTAGTGTTAAGAATAAGTTGACAAAAACACAATACGGAATTGCATCTTATCAGGAACATTAGGAATATGATAAAAATGTTTGCGTGTTTCACGGTGAGCAGAAAGAAATAATACCAGCCAGTCCTCATATTTTGTAGTAACATCTGCCCGGATAGTTTTAATCTTTTGGGGATAGAAGAACATGGAAAATTTTTCTATCCAGACAGTCTCCCGTCAGCTGCAACAACTGCAACAAATTCAACGTTGGAGAAACTGGGAGGAAATTATGTACATGGATAAAGGAACACAACCCGGCTACCAGGAGGCGTGACCCCTTGTCCTTGATATCTATACACGAGGACCAAGAAGGTCACAAATTCAATCTGGAAAACGCAAAAATTTTGGCCCACGGAGGCACGCGACACGGAAGAGAATTTCTGTAAGCATGGTACTCCACGGCGGATTCGATCAACCGGTGCATCGAACTTGATCCAATTTACGCACCTCTACGTGCGAAAGACCAACATCTCAACCGGAACACTCAAGGAGGACCGAATATTGGATTCACAAACAAAGAAACAAGAAACTTCTCGGAGTCAAATCAATAGAGGTCACAAGACGGAACTCGGAAGGACAAAGGTCACTCCAACATTGACCAAACTAGCACGGCGAGGGACTGCCAAGCTCAAAGGTCACGTTGGCATCAGCGAATGAGGACAACAGTTCAACCAATAGAACCGCCCGACCGAACAACTAATCGCGGTCAGAGGTCATCCCCGGCCACCAGCACGTACATTAACACAAACGTAACGCTACTCAAGGCACAACCACTAACACGCCGCTACGCGCAACTTCGCTCCCAATAACGCACTGATGATGTCACCTCAATGAAACGTTTGCAATCAAATTACCCAGATCAGCGAACAAGCCAACGATCATCTACACTACCTGAGCTACCGACATTTTCCTCTCTAGGAAAGAAATATCTCTCCACTGGTGTAGTTCCAGTGAATGATAGATGAGACTCAAATTGGGGCTACACACAGGATCGGAGCAGCTATCGATCAGTGGGAATCAGCCAACTGGAAAGGACTTACTTCTATATCCGGCTTTCTAACAAATATTTTCAGCGTATGTGAGTAGTAATCTAGCGCCTCCTAGGTTTTGTTCGGAAGGTACAAATCCAGACAGGTGAAATAGTAAATTCGCTACAGGTGATAGGTCTATTAACATTTCGATGTTCTCATAACTCACCAAAGTAAGACAGGCTAATGGGGTGGTTTCACTCGTAAATCACCATCTTCTGTGGCCACAAAACCAACTCCGTTTCAGACCAGCTCCAAATTATGGTGCTCGCTACTTTCAGACGACACATTCAAAAGCTGGTCACCCCAAGACGTGCCTTTTTATTCCGGTAATCCAAGATTAGACAATTTTCCTACCGCCCCCACCTATTCCCTCGAGAATAAGGTGAATCCGAATTCCACTTCTTTACAGCTATTGGCAAGAAACCGAAGACAATATTTCGTTTGTCTGGAACTCCAAAACAAGACAACTTTTCTAGACCACGCTTTGAGAAACAGAAACCAGTGCTGCGTGATGAACATAACTGGCATTATTTCCTCGCTGATCCAAGCTAGATTTTTTTTGTGATGTGGACAAGCACAATTTTTATTGTCTTCATCAGATGGAAAGCGACTCCTCGGTTTTCAATTTGTTTCGAAGAAAGCAAGACTAATTAAAAAGCATGGCTTCTATCAGGCAAATTCTGGTCAGTGTTGGGATTTATGACTGACATTGCCACCATAATCCAATGGATGTTGGAGCGCCTAACTTAATAGAAAAGTACCGTTTACATGAGTTATAGCTGATGAAATGATTCCCCTTTGAATAAACGTTTTTACGTTTTTTGGGATAGTATTCCTATCACCTGGAAAACTGTGTGCAAAGTAAGTTCGTTATATTGTATTACTTGTTACCGAAAGTCATTCGGTTCTGATCCTTACTAGCTACGCGTAACACTGCAGATTAATCGCCACGCAAGGTTTCGCTCTAATTGTCTGGGGCTACCGTACTAGACGTCATCATCACCAGGTTACAGAAATCGTTCAGCTGTAACACCCTTTCGGTGTCTAGCTGCCATGCCACCAGAAGGAAACATGTGGGCAATAATACTGCCAGGTTGCCCAAGTCTAGACAGGGGACGTCGAGAGGCAGAGGTCGGATTCGAACCACAGACCCTCCAGTCAGTAATTTCGCACTCTAATCAATGATCCATCTCACCCTGTTGCCCTTATGGACTCCCACAGAAAAATACCTAGGAGTTTGGAGTCCACTAGCTGACTACCAAAATAATCCAACACGACAAATTCCCATACTCCCCAATTTTTTACCCAAATGCACCCAAAGGTGGTGCGTCATCTTGTTGCAACCATGATTAATCGATTGCGCCATCCACCTTCAATTGTGGTACTAGGTGGTTCTGAAACTGTCGGTTGTAGGAGGAACGTGAAGAAAAATGGGGAATAATGTAGAAACACTACTTAAGAGTTGAGTTACTTGTGAAAAAGGAAATACCAATGATCTTTCTTTCGGAGGAGTCCTACCCAACCACAATTATTGTACTGTGTTGGAGCAAAAGTCACTTTACCGACCGGTATAAAACTCAACACAAAAATAGGGTTTGGATGATTTAGCGTGTAAGTGAAATACTGTTTCACCCATAAAACAGACAGTAATTATTTCAATACCAACATACATTAGATCCAAAAAGCAAATCGCCTTTCGGAATCATCAATCCGTATGTATTTCACCGTATTTCACCGAAGCGGTAGTGTCTGTTTTCTACAAAAATTTGTGAATGTTGAGCAATTCTATGTGCAGTGCCTATGGAACTCTGATTTCTCGAGTAACCCAGCAGGCACAGAATTTATCCGTCAATTTGTGAGGTCTGCCGGTCCCGTTAGCATCACCCACGTCCCCATTCCTCGAGAATTCATCCCAATATCAGCACGTACCCGCCTGGTATTAACCGAAGACCAGCGTACAAGGCACTGAATCATCGCGGAGTAGCCTTCATATCCACACTCTCAGCAGAGAAGAATAACACACAAGCGGTGAACACTAGCCCCATAGGCCTGATTCAACACAAACGGTTAAAGCCAACAGAGTTGCCTTCAATTATACTACTGTAGGAATGAACAGGTGCTGCAACTACCGCGCAGAACGGTTCACTGTCCCACTAATGATCGCCTTAACATGCTGGGAAGTTTCAAGATATTCAAACGGGTCCAGCTATCCTGAACTTGTGTTGACACAGCTTTCGTTCCTAATGGCTAGATGCATTGTGCATTCCGTAGAACGGAATTATGGTGAGGCGTGGTATGTCTTCCGAATTGAATGAAATGATCCGGAGTGAAAAGATGATGCCCTAATGTGATCAGATGTCACAACAGGGAGCTGAGTTTAGGAGCGTGAGGTATTCTCAGTTGGTCAGTTAGAAAGCGTGATAGGATCAGACTAGCCAGCCATGTCGTACATGGAGACTAAACACAGTGAGGGTGATGTGGATGCTATTAAATTACATGACCCCCAAAATCAAAAACGAAACCGGAAAAAAGATTGAGTAGCAAGAACGTAAATAGTTGTGGGTACACACAGCAACTCAACGGTCCTCGGGAAAGATCACCATGGACAGTTTCCCATGCTCTATCAGGAACTTACGTAAGAGGGACGTCGAAAGTTATGGCTTATCCGTCAGTTCCCGTTTGCCCAGGCACTTGCATTCGTAGGCCTCCAGCATTCGCCCCTAGAACCTCTGTGTTGCATCTGTTTTCTGTCCCTGCTCCAGCGCCTAGTGTCGGAAAAACTCACCAATGTGGAACACCATAGCTTTATTAAGAACATGCGAGCGCGAAAGTACAACGGCCCAAAGTCATTATATTGAAGGACACTGTCTGACCTTTCTCACGCTGTCTGGCTGTGATGAAAGATAGTCTCGCGCTACATATTGAAGGCGTTGTCTGACCTTGATCGAACGCTGTCCCACGCTGTCTGACTTTGATTCAGGGCTGTCTGGTCGGCGTCAGGTAGAGTTCTGGGTCTCGGTAGATCCTGGGCATCCTGTGGTTACTTTCAGGAGTCTGACCTTTCTGATCTCAGCAGCAGTTAATTACGTTGTAGCCTTCAACCTACTGAATAAAAGTCACTAGCTGCTTTTTTTCCACCCTACGCCCACTTCGTGTGTTATTCTAGGGCTGTAAAAAATCCCTTCCAACTTAGGCAGCTGTTCAGCTTTCGTGCAGTCAAACCCCGACACTTCTAGGTGATCGTAAACCATAGTGTTGGAGAGACAAAGTAGCGTTTCCCTCGTGATTAGGTATAGAAAGTACTGCATACCCACATCGTATCCGTCGAGAATCCAAAACTGATCGATAAGCCATTGTTACCCATCTAGTATAGTACGGAACTCAATTAAGGCCCTTGATTGAAATCAGTTGGAGTCATTTGAACCCAACCGACAGGTTTCATCTTCATCATTTTTGAGATCATTTCGCTATTACACGGTCCAGCTATTTGCATTTTAACTCCTGGAGTGCAGATGCGGTGAAAAAACGGCAAAAAAGTTTACTTACCGCATGGACGTAAAACACTACTCATAAGGTTACTGGAATTCTTCGACCGGTTTCGCCTTTCTTGGAACCCATCAAATAGGCGCAGTCCCCGAGTCTCCGTCAACCTTATGTTCTAGTTGAATCCAAGTTGCGCGAAATTAGCGAACTGCACTCATTTGCAAACAAATTTGGGTTCCAGGTGAGTCTCTCACAAAACCATTTTGTTTGCAAATGGGTGTATTTCGCTAATTTACTTACCACATTTTGGCGAACTGCATTCAGTATCATACACGTGCTCACCTATAGGATCTCAACTGGAAGTTTTTTAGCAACGATGCCAAAATTTAAGGCCAACGAATAGCATGTATATCCTGCCCTCAAGTTGATTACCACAACATGGAGGTCAATATGCTCGTCGCTTGAGCTGTCCGAAAACTGGAAATTCAGGGGATCGATTTGGATGGAAAGTACATGTGCAGTTTAGATTGTGAGTGAGCATAGCAACGCACGAAAAACAACCGAGACTATCTGGGATGAAAAATGTCCAAGGAAATTTCTAATTTCCGGACACATTATTCCGAGGTTGCTGTTATGCGTCTCGGTACAAAAACCTGCGCTTTAACAAATCGCCGTTTGAAAGTACACGACTGCATTGCATATCCTTAATAAGTTCAGCATACTGATGATTGACTGAAACGTGGATTGTACTTTTATTTCTACTTATTCAGATTCCAACTAACACCAAACCAACCGACCGATTGAACATTGGTTTGTAAAACGATGGATTTCTCATCTAAGGACAGGCGAAACCAGCATTAGACGATAGACTGAATCAAATAAACTGCTCTATTTGCGGTCACCTCGTCTTAACCATCCTTTTCCTATGATGGCGCAAAAACTCTGGTCATTATGCAAAAAGAGTAGATTCACTATTTTTGAGTTTTGTTCTTTTACCAACATTTTTTCTGGTTCTCATGGTTTAGTTTCACAGCTGGCTTGCTGTACAGGTGAACTAGCCAGCGAAATGAATGTTTATTGGTGGTTGTCGTAAGTCAGTGGCTGAAAATGTTCCTAACGGGCGTTTCTTCCTTTTCAGGTGGCTACGGTAACAAGCGCAGCATCTAAGACTACCTGCGATCGACGCTCTAGGGTACGTCAAAATATCCTGTCAGTTTTACATTCAGAGTTGTTTCAGAAGACACTCAGTATAACCTTTTCTACCACTTGTCTGCTGTTAAATTCCTAGAGGAACTGCCTGACACATTTCGTGATGGTGGGACTAGGCTACTACAAAACTTAGAATTCTTGAGCCCCATAGTATTGCTTTGTGACGATGGGAATGGGGCACACGATGACTTACACCCGGTGTTCTGGATTCACCTTTTCTTCAAATAAGCTCGCAGAAATGCCACGAGAGTGACCAGATGATGAATTCATCCGTTTCCTCGATGGAGCCACATTCGAAGTGGTTAGTATCTTTGTATTTCTATGAAAATGCTTCAGTAGTACTGGTCTCTGATACGAAATAACTACTTAGTTAGTCGAACTGGCTAAGTTTTCGTAAAACTTGGTTATCTGTCGCACCGGAAAAATCTCATTTAATTGCTGAAAGGATGGCACTTCTGTACTCACCGCGAATGTGAAACGAGTCTCCCTAATAGGAGATAATGAGAGAGTGGCCCATGCACAAGAAACATTGCCTACTTATGTCGAGAGCAACAGTTGAGCAGCGAATTACTGACAGATGGCATCAGCATTCTCCTGAGTGCAGTGTTTGGTACCTTCGGTACCTAGCTGCTTTGCCGTACAAACGAAGCACGAGGTCTTAAACACTGTCAAGTTGTCCAAGCCAGTACAGGGGCAGTAGAAGTGCTGAGGTTGGCTTCGAACCACGGACCTTCTTGTCAGTAAGTTGGGCAGCTAAACTGCTGAACTACCTCGGCTAGTGCAATACATAGGGACTAACCACTAATGGCTGGGATTCAGCGTGCCAGTTTGGTAGGTGTTGACTTACCGAGACTTCCTTGGAGGTGACGAAGAAGGGGCACGTACCTGGTTGAAGGAACTTCATAAAATGCTCCATAATTAAAGCCCATGGTGTGCAAGTTTTCTATCAAACAGACATCAGACTGCAATTTGGCTATCCCAACTTGTGTTTTTCACTTGCGTTTCACCAGATCTACATGATTATCCATACACTGAAAATTCTGATCAGGGGATTTACTCTAAGGGATATTAAGAAAGGAAATGAAAAGAGACAAACAAAGCGTACGTTTCAGTGGTAGGTATGAGTAGCAAAAATTTACTGTGATTATTTGCTATTAAGGAGAATGTTGGTAGTTTGGGTGGTGTGGATGGTAGTTGCTTTTATTACTGAGCTGTGCGATTCGATCGCAAACATTTGATCATCAATCGAGGTGGCATCATTTGTGCGTATTTAGGGAGCGTATCTATGGGCAGTGGTTGTGCTGTGAATGTGACTACCATCAGAGGGAAGAGGACAAATAAATTGTTCTCCTCTGGGTTTCTAAAAGTTCCTTTCCACAGTAAAGTCGATTGAGTTCTTTTTCACCTACAATCACAATAGGTCCTACGTAAGGTAATATCTGCCTCTTAGATAGACGGGGTGTTTCCTTCAAAGAAGCGAAGAATATAAATCAAGGGTTCAACCTCGACAAATACACTCAGTTGCAAATCAATTTGGTTTTCACTCTCTGCGATGTTCTTCAACTGAACGTGCTGAACAAGAGTTTTCAGCACATTCAGTTGAAGAACGAGAGATTCATTTCTGGGCACAGATGGCATGTTTCATCAATTTAAAGCCTCAGTGAACCCGAAAACGTGAAACTAAAATAGAACAGGTTACGTGCCTCCAATCTCTAGCTAGAATTAGCTAACAACCAAAAAAGAAACTAACTGTGTGGTTCTGTAACAACGTCCGAAAGTGTTTCTTTTCCATGTGTTCATAAACTTTATTGAATGATATCCGTGGGGACCGACAGATGATTAGAGCAGTACCAGAGACACTGACCGATTTCGCATGACCGTTGGCTTCTGGCTAAAGGCTAATGAAAACACACTCTTGCGTGATGCATCCCCCATGCAAATCATGCTGCCAGGCCTGGAACCGAGCTGTCTGCTTCCTGATATGTTCACGTCAGTCGTCGATGAGTGTGGTGGGTCTTACTTCCAGTTATCCCTAGACGGTAATTGTCAAAATTAATAATAACCCTTGTATCTCAGTATAATATATCGCATGCTCTTTTCCTGGATTCGATTCGGACTATGAGAATCGACTTTTCGCATTTCGTTTTATCTCAGTGTGTTTTACAGTCTTATACTATTCCAGTATGGTAACAACATCCACTTGTTGAGTTACAACAGACGATGTAAGTTGTCTTCAACAACTTTGCGTCACCAGAACTATGCTGATGATCAGGCGGACTTTTAATTGCACTGTCATAGTTGGTATAATCACTCATCACGGGACATCTGGGACAGATGGACCAAAAGTTAATCGCTTCCTGCATTCCGCTAGGACGGCAGACCAGACTGCTTTTGTTGTCAAATGCAGTTAAAATGTGGGCGAAACCTTCATTAGGTGAAGTGTTGATGAACTGATTCAATCAGGTTTTGCTCCTCACGACGGGCCTACCGCATCGGTAGACTACCTGGTCAAGTCAGCTGGGGGCTGTTTATAACAGTTAACTAAGTGAACTTGTTCGGGTCAATTGCTACCCCGACTGAAGACAGTTGGAAAAAGTAGATGTTCACGGCCAATTGCGAATCGCAAAACATCTGGATCAATGACTGATAGCAGGAATTACGATCAATGCCAATTGATTCCATTCGTAGTTATTCTCATTGTCCCAGATTGTGAACGAATTAGTTGCGTTTCATTTGATTGACCAGGAAATTCCGGTTGAAGTTGATATATTTGTACTACCTGACATCCAGGCTAAGCCGCTTAGACGGCATCCTAATTTCCAGGCTGACAATCGGCAGATCGATTCAGAGGTTCCGGCTAACAGAAGGCGCACTGGAAATTTCGATTAATCCAAAAGTACGGAATGACGAATGGGTAAGACTTGCAGGTGAACATACATATCATTATGGCTGAATCTGAAAAAATAAGTTTGTTACATTTAAAGAGAAGGTGCTTCGGAAGATGAATCAATGAAATTCAGTGAGGGATTCTTTTTGGTAGACGGACAGTAAGAATCGTTCATGGCGAGGATTTTTAATAATCTTACATGGAATAATTCAAGATAGCAAAAAACTAACAAAAGACCGCCTAGTGCCAAGAAAGTCATGTTTGATCAATGAGAATCTTCTGAAAGTGATCGTGAACTTAAAACGGAGATATGTCGCTATATGCCATGTGCTCGAATCCTAATCGTTTCCTCTATGTGGAACCTGAATATGTCTCTGATTGACCGTCAGCTTAATGGACCGTCGCAGCCAAACGCTATTTGAACGATATAAAAACGTACGAACAATGTGGCTAACCAAAATCATCAAAATGTCCTGTCCAGAGTATCTCTCAAATCTGCTCTCACTGGTGCCTGTTGACTCGCTTGTTAGAGCAAAACCGTTCCTTGGTACATTCTTGTCACGGATTCATCAGCGTGTAAGTTTTAAAAAGCTTCGAGGGAAACGGAGCGTGTTAGGCACGTTTTAAAAGAAAGATGATGAATTTTGCCCAACCCACTGATGTCTAAGTATCTTAATCCATCACGAGAACCATAAATTATTATGGTGATCCTGATGTTTATGACCGCATTTTCCCGTACGAGGTCCAGCTCATTCACTAACGCCTCGTGAGGAGCCGCATATCATCGTTGTTTGTCGTGGGAAATTCCGCTGTGTTGAGTTAAAGTTTACAATTTCTTAACCAAAACTGCAACTCTAAATGTGTGTGGGTGCTTTGATAAGCACTCAATGCGAGTGCCAACTTGTTAAGCAAGAAAAAAAACGTGTACATAGTACACTACTCATTAAGTTGCGGAAAATTCTTCGACAACTCACGACCGGTTTCGTCTTTCTTGTGTCTCATCGGGTTTCCGAGTTTCTGCCAACTTTTTGCTCTACTTGAATACCGTACCGACTGAAACATAAGGCGGCCTGGCTCAGTACATTCAGTTGCTTAAAGCATCATAAACGAGAGATTTGGCTGGGTTACAAGTGAGTCTAAAAAAAAAAATTTATTTGCAAATGAGTGTGTTTCGCTAGCGTTAGAAAGAGATATTTTCTCTTTTTCGTCCGACCGCTTCTCGCCCGTTTTTCTACCATTCTTTTTTGGTTAATTACGGTTGGAAAATCCGGTAACTGCAGAGAAATGATGCAAAGTGAAAAGTATACATCAGCTCATCTTTACCTACAACGTGCTGCGCATAACCTGTCGAGCACACGTGTTGAGAGGAACAAATCAGTCGGGAAAATCAAACGCACTCTTGAAATCAAGGATCACCAACATTGTGTCGCGCCTACACGCGTGTCATTGCATTAACATGTGACAGAATGTGAAGGTGTGATCCATAAAACTCCTTTGCGGTTGGAATCCTGCATACTGTTCTCAGGGCCGGTCTTCACGAGCATTCGTAAGAGGACGTCAAATATGCGATGAAAAATTCTGGTTACGGTGGCGGTCTAGGTAATTCCTCCGTGGTGCACCACTCACTGTAGTCACATTTTTTGAAAATGTGCGCCACAATCGATCCATCTCCGTTGGTTCGGACGATCGTATTCGCAAAGCTGGAAATAAATAAGTCAAACAAACAGTGACTGAGGATTTCACCTCTATGTTTGAACAGAGCGTGTGGGAGTTCGTCGGGTTCATCAGCTCGGTGACGATTGAGGGATGAAAGGCACCCGCTTATCCCCGAGATTCTCGAAGTTTCCAAGCTCACTGTCCTGGGTTGCATTGAAGGTCGTAAGTCCAGCTGATCAACTGCAGGTGGATAGTTAAATTCAGGAACTCTCTCAATGGGAAAAGGCGAGTCGGTGTCATCAGTGAGTGCTTCACTCACTGGGGGCATCTTTCGGCCATTCGCACATATTAATAGGAACAGTTTACATACATTCCCAAACTATTGTCCACCCTGATCAGCCCTCCTTTGTTCTTCTTCTTGTTCTTTTTCTTTTAAGAAAGACTATGTACCCAGTATTTCCACCGTTTAAGTGCACAATTTTCATTCGTTAACGCGGAGCACCACTTCATTTGTAAACTTCATTATGTGCCCCCAAATTTTGTTTTCCTGTCTGCAAGTTTAGCCAGCTCGAGTCTAATTTGAGAGTTTATATGATCAGCAATCCGGTCTAGTTCCTTCGTCTAAGCTACGTGTAAAACAGCTGGAATCAGTAGTCATTCATGGTATCAGTACCTCTGCTACATGCCTCATCTCAATCGACACTCGACAAGGCAACACTTCGTTTGCAGCAGAACTACAAGGTTTTCCTGCCTAATTCTCACAAAGACGCTCAAATTGTGTTGATGGATAGATCGGACTATATTTGATGAGCTGAATACCACCCTCTCAGACGGATCCAAATTTAGGAAAACTGAAAGTGAGAAAGACAAGCTGCAGGTGATCCATTTCCCAGGAAGCATCAGTACCAACACTTTTAAACGTTTTCGTCCCATCGCTGCAAAAATTCTCTGGATGTGTGGTTTTCCAAAAGAGCGTAAACCCGATCTACTTTTCATGCCCAACTTTGCAGTTCTGATCATTCTTATCGTGCCCCGGTTAAAAGGCTCACTAATCTTCTAAATTCAATCAGGAGAGAAACAGTGATGCAGGGAGCCCGAGAGATAGTTTTGAGTTCGTTTATCAGGTTGTAGATCTGAAGATCGACAGATATTATCTATTCTCTCTGGATGTCAAGTAATTTTCTGCTGACGTACCGCCTATGCAGAAAATAGATTACTTTCGTGGCTTGATTGAGTGCAATGACAGCCAAGGAAATCTCGAACCTTAGGGAACTACTGCTACTTTGTGCCGTCCATTTCAAATAGAAGAATTAATCAGCATTAGAGCAGGTTTTCCGTCAATTCTCCTTTACGTCCAGTTTTGGCAGATCTTTTCATTAGCAAACATGAAAGTAAAAAACTAAGCATGCTCAATATGCAGTTTACACTGTATTGTTACTATATGAACGGAATCTCCGTACTGTCAGTACACAGACATGTTTTACTGATAGATCAGTTAGTTTAGTTAATAACAAACATCAACTTTCCTTTTGAACAAAAGGTGGATGGACATTTAAGTTTCCCGATATCAGTATTCGAAAGAAGACAATGGACCCAAAGAGCACAACGTACATTTCGGTAGGTCTGTTCCGTTTGCGATGAACTAAAACTTCAGCAAAGATGTGCCCCTGTAACTCTTCAAAGGAGCGAGAAAACCTGTCTAGAAGTAACGTGTGATTTCTGATCTTGCTGAAAACTCTTCCACAGCCCATGACTGGTTTCGTTCTTCTTGGATCTCATCAGGTAGGCGTGGTCCGGAGTTGCCACCAATTTGATGTAGTCTTTGAACCCAAATTGGACTAAGCTCCCCAAATATCCTCATTTGTATGTGAAATCGGTATTACAAGAGATTCAACTGAATCCAGCTAAAACCGGTCGTGGGCTGTCGAGAATTTTCGAGCTGAGTGTCACGCCTAGACAATGTATTGTGGTACCCCGAATATCGTACCAAATGAAGCACTAGAAGATCTGGTGTGGCGCATTCAGTTGAAGAAGACCGTCATAAATGAGAGATTAAGTTTGATTCAACTGAGTCTCCCGTTAACACCAGAATAGTACGGAAAATGGAGTATTCGAGGAACACGAGTTCTTAGGACGCACGTCCTTGCGGAATGGATATTCTGAACAGCTGTTGCTCAAAACTATACGACCTATGGAGCACAAAACTAATTAATGTCTACTTAGGAAAACTTGCATCTACGTGTGACTCATATTCAGAAGGTACTCAGTTGCTTAACTGGTTTGCAGAAGGCCTTGAAATTCTGTCGATATGACCAACATAACGACTAGTCTGTGCTTGAGTTACAGTTCCATTTCCTTTCAAAGGAATCTACCACCAGCTTCTGTGTGCACCCGTTTGTATACTCACACAAGACGTCATGCGTTGGTCGTACCGCAAGACTTTTGTCGGATAGAATATAACAACGCGTTCCCGTCTCCCTGAGTAGTGGCTGGAAGGAACTGGGCTTAGGTGAAACTGCATCATATTTGGCCGAAACCAGTGTGTTGACACCAGCATACCGATTTAATAAACCAGGTACCCCTGAAACGGTCACTATTGGTACGATCCAGGCTACTATCGATCGCAGAGGCGAGTGGAATTCGACTGCATGACCCTCAACTTTACGTCCAAAAGAAACCCGTTTGACGCCTGAACTTGAGCTGACCTGCGAAAAATCCAGTCCCACAGTCTCGTATAGCACTGATGTCACCCACCTGACCCCTTGACCTTTGTAAGCCCCATTCAACATCCCTGTCCTTAACGTTCACTTTCTTTCTTTAAATGGTATGTACCAGTGATTTCCACACCACCTTTGCACGTGACTCGTGTTAGCTTACGAACTTGTGGTGAATTAGCCAAGAGGACCAGTCAGAGTAAACAAGTTTTCTTTCGTTTATTCATGAATTCCGGTGGTATCTTCAGTCACAAGAATATCACTCGCTTCCCTCCTACATGGACTCGGCCGAGAGGTTAGGAGGATTCTTCATTGTGATAGACAGAACGCGCGTATGCGTGTACTTCAATGAGTATACGGTCCTTACTGAATACAGGAGTTTGGTGAACAATACTGCCATACATCGAAAAGTGAGGCGACCATTCGCTATTCGGATGCAGTGGAACCATGTATCCTTCCCTGCCGGAGATCACTGAAAGGAACCTAGTGTTGAAATTTTGATGGAGGTGTCTACAGTAACACTGTCCAGGTGATAAAGTCCTTACACCAACTCTGCGTTCTGACTTTATCGGGCACATTTAAGCTCTAAGAAATTTCAAGACGTATGTGTAGCTCGCGAACTCTTATGGAGATTACAGTACACCGTGAACTAGTGTCTGCTACATACATAAAAACCTGCATTTTGTAACGGACGAAAAGACGTCACTTTACTTCTAAGATATGCGGAATGAGACTTTTATCAGACTTTATCCAATGTGGCCCGAATATACCAGATTACCGGTAAATATAGCCAGAAATATGGCTACAAACAAAAAAAGCTATACAGCTGTGAAACTTTGAGCCACAATGGAAATCATGCAAATCAAGGCAACCAAAGAACCAATGGGATCACAGAAAGAAATCTGCCAAAGGTACAAGGTTATTCAGCCAGCCAATCAAGTGGAACGAAATCAAACCATAAAACAAGGAGGTAACGGCTCAGTCACAACGAAGGAACAGAACCGCTGAATTGAGTGCACTCAACGAACCAACCGGATGCAAAGAACTTAGATCATAGCGCAACTCAGATTCCATGTAGACAACACACTACTGGGAAGCCACCTGGGGAGCAACCAAACACTTTAGAGCTATTAACCCCTGTTTGGAAGTCGTATAAGAGCATCAACGTCGTCAGTCGTAAGAACCGCATACTTGTCGTACAGTGGTCACGGTTGCCACAGTTTTGTTCGCCGATGATTTGGAGAGGTGGGGTAGATAGCTGCACATTGAAGGTGGCAGCCGATACAATTGACCTGTTGTTAGTGGACTTTCCATTGGGGGGGGGGTTGGTAGGAGAGCTATTAATTGAAGACAACAGCTTGAATGCCTGAGCGGCATCGAGGACGTGACTGGACCACGTCTGACAATGTCCCAAAGACGGGACACGCCGATGGTTAAAGTTTCCTATAAGAACTGGCAGAAGAGGAGGGATCACCCGTTCTACCCCGCACATGTCGATTAGTGATGGCGAGCAGACTAAAAACCAAGCAGCTTACTCAAGCTATCTACCTTCCTAACTTCGCCAATAGGCAACTTTATGCCCAGCCGAGGGATTTGCGTTGAATGGGATCCGTGGATGGTAAAGACACTTGGTTCGACAAAGATCCATTCCGGTCGATGGGGACTCAAGGTTCAGGGCAGATAACGTATTGGCAGAAGTTGGCCAACTTTTCGAGCGTGCAAAAACCACACACACACACACACACACACACACACACACACACACACACACACACACACACACACACACACACACACACACACACACACACACACACACACACACACACACACACACACACACACACACACACACACACACACACACACACACACACACACACACACACACACACACACACACACACACACACACACACACACACACACACACACACACACACACACACACACACACACACACACACACACACACACACACACACACACACACACACACACACACACACACACACACACACACACACACACACACACACACACACACACACACACACACACACACACACACACACACACACACACACACACACACACACACACACACACACACACACACACACACACACACACACACACACACACACACACACACACACACACACACACACACACACACACACACACACACACACACACACACACACACACACACACACACACACTGAACAGACATCACTATTGGTCCTTGAATGCCGTTGAAAATTGTGGCAATACCGCTACTGCTCTTCCCTACACTGTGCATTCTATATTCCTATACATTATCTCATGCACCACCTCATGTGCCTTGTACTTTCTCCACATAAATGAGAATCAGACTTCAATCCGTGTCTGAATTCTTTGACAATCCATTGCATGGTTTGTCAAATTTGTCATCAAAAGGTAGACATTCCACATCATTCACTAGTTGTCATGTCCACCAGATGACCAGAAGATCCGTCGGGTCAAAGGTCAAACCACGATCCATCGTGGTCAATAGCCATCCCTGTGTCAGATATCGTCCATCGAACCGAACCAGTCAACCTCTTCTAAATATCATTGTACTACAAAAAACCTGAGGATTTTAACAAGAGAGTATGTTTAAACCAGCCCCGATTGTGTGCACAAAATCAGTTCAAGCAAGCGACCTATCTACTTTGGCGCTGGCCAGGGAATCGGTCAAGTATCTACCCAAAATTGCTTATACTTGTTTTGCTTATAAAAATCGGCCATTTTACGTCTGCGACTGGAGAGAGGAAAAAAGCGTTAACATGTCTTCCTAGAACAACAAAAGCGCCTGCTTCCTTAAAAATCCTCTGGTATGCAAAACATGAATTAGGTATTAGGTGTAATGTATAAACCTTGTGAAAATCACCCATTCGGATTAAATTATCTAATCTACTGTGTGGAAGAAAGAAAGCGTTCAGCTGTAGCACCCTTCCGGTGCCTAGCTGCCATACCACCCAAAGGAAGCACGAGGGCTGGGATACTGTCAGGTTGCCCAAGCCTAGACAGGGGAAGTCGAGTGGTGGAGGTCGGACCTTCCGGTCAGTAAATTCGTGCTCTAACCACTTGGGCCATCTCGCCAATGGAAACGCTAGCCATCGATTCGCTTGGGAGTGAACCTGGAGTTTTCTCAGACGAGGTTGCACACAGCAAATTTTTTAACGTCCTTCCTGTTATATTCATTGGTACAATCACCACCAGTGTCGAATTTTCCGCATGTCTGCACTGATTCTACCAAGATCCGCAAGATCGGATGCAACCTCTCGAGGACGTACCAGATAGTAAGCGATTCACCTGTTCCATGCTGGGTAGGTTCACGCTCTCATGCTCCAGTTACTTTCGAGCAAACGAAGTAGGTCACGTTATCACAGCAGAAGGAGTGTACCATATATAGCGTTTCGATGTCTCTCATCACGCAAGACTCAGTCTGCCTCTGCTATGTCTGAATAGGTAGTTTTCTCGGATATTTTGCACTGACTGGATGAAAATACTGGACTTTCACATTCTTAAATTGAAATGGATGGGTTGCCTGATCACAGAAACGAGAGGTGGGCTGATATTCTCGTCATGTCCACTTAGCTGAACTGTTCAGAGAATCATTTCTGCCTACGAACACAAAAATTCATGTTACGGAGCAGACAAGGAATCATCAACTCAATTAATGTACCTAGAAAAAAAGGGATTCTGCTGTAGCCTATCATGTCTAACCGCTTTCTCCCGATCCGGAGTTCTCGTGTCAGAAAAATACTTGCCAACACAGAACACAACAGCTTTATTGCTAACAAGCGAGTGCAGCCCTCACAAGAAACCTCGATCAAGGCTGTTGCTGAAATGACAGACCGACCCAGATGCCTGTCGGCTTTCCTATTGAGATTTTTCTGGAGTTTGAGGGTCTCATTAGAGTCCGGGCATTCTGAGATTAAAATCAGGTATCTGACCTTCCTGATAGTTAACTTTGAAGCGTCCTTGATTATAAATAGTCGTATAGTCAAGAAATAGAGTAACGTGTTATTTTGCCAGTTTCATAAATCATACTCCAATGTGGGTTTCTTGCTTGACATGGCATACCAAGCGTAGTAACCATCAGCAGCAATACATACGGCTGTGAACTTTGTGACTCTGCTTGGCCGTGTTCATTCGTTAGGTTTCCACTTCACGTAGATAATATTCTAGACAAACCATTTCATAAGGACAATTTCCCGAAGGCACAACTCCCCTTGGTATGTAAAATTTCTTTCTGGTTATATGAATTATATTGATAGCCTTCGCTAGTTGGCCCGTGTTTCCTTGTTTATTTCGGTCTTCTGAGAACGGACAAAAGCGTGGTTACTGAACGAATATGGGGATCAAATGAAATATAATGGACACTATTCCTTAATGTCGCGTATGGTCCTTGTCGATTCCTGATTCCACTCTGGAACTCAGGCTTGTTTATTCTTCAGTTTGGCACGCTAGCTGTACACCCGAATGGTGTTATAGCTCAACGGCAATTGTTCACTACTTACTCAATCATACTACTTTTGTCTATTATTGCTTATCGTTTATTATGATTTGTTAGTATTGCACAAACTGAAAAATGACGTTTCCTGGTGCAAGTCCTTCTTCAGTTGAAGTAATTCAGCTGTAGCATACTTTCGGTGCCCAAGCGCCACCAGAAGGAAGCACGAGGGCCGGGATACTGCCGGGTTGCCTAGACAGGGGAAGTTGGGAGGTCGAGGTCTGGTTCGAACCACGGACCTTCTGGTCTATATATTCGCGCTTTAACCACTGAGCTGTCTTGTCCCCTGCATTCGATTTAGAACATCATAAGCAACAGATTCAAATGGATTTCTTGTGGATACTAAATACGTATTTCTCGCTATCTGCTTGAAAATACTTATTTTACAGACGTGT